TCTGGATGCTGAGGTTTTCTGGATCATCTTTGTGATGCAGAGCTGGAGGATATATAGAACAAAGTCGGAGTTGATGATGGTAAATACAGCTGATAGATTTAAATGTGAAATGAAGTATCAAGATTTTGGAGCACTCTTGGCAAGCTTACAAATAGGAATTTTTAATCTCCTTACTTGTGGCTTTTAATTGGAGGCTTTTACTTAATTTATTAAAACTATTAGAGTGGCCTAAATGACCTTGTAACAACAAACTGGGCTTAATCCAAAATCCTCTAGTGAGGCTGTAAAGAAGCTGCACCAGAGTTTCTTACCATTGCTCGGCATTAAAATGCTCCATATCCTTTGACCTTTACATCAGCTTTTGGCTGAAGGTGAGGTGTGAGCACAGGGCAGCTCTGCTCCTCTCCTTGGAGCTTTCACTCTGTGCTGTCACTTATCTCAGAGGTCAGATGGCATTTAAGGAAGTGAACATATTGCTTGTGAAGTGTAGGATTACTTTTTTTTCCTACTAAATTATCTGAATTGCTTCCACGGGATTACAAATGATGAAATGGTATTTGATGTTGATAGCTAAATAATGTGTATGGGATGGAAAAACAATCCTGGAATGACTGGATTTAAATGAGGTGGTACGACTCAAAAAAAAAAAAAAACCAGAATTTGGGTTCTTTAAGTTAAAATGCTCTGAAAATAACATTGGTTTGTTCGTTCCTGTTTGCCCTTACAGCTAACCCAAGCACTGGGAGAGAACAGTGCTGGGAAAACCTGCTGCTGCTGCACCAGTCTCCATGTTCTCAGGTTTTCATGAAGGTTTCAAGAAGGTATCTGGGAGAATATCAGCTGTGGGAGTGTGTGTGCCCTATTCTGGGCACCTGCTGCTCCAGTGACAGGGATGTGGTGTTGAAGCCACCTGGGCTTCACCTGACTTAGGCTGATTATTGTCTATATGCTAACATCAACATACAGCACTTGGTTCCTCTCCTGCCACGAGAGCTAAGGGCTGCTGAGTGAAACTGAGGTGATGTGGGAACTCATTGCTGGAGGATGTCACAGTGGTCAGAAGGATGCACTCAGGATGGGTTGGGTACATCCAGCAAGGCTGCCCACAGTGTGGATGCTACTGAAACTGAACAGTCAGCATGGAGGTTGGTTGTCTGTCCTTTAAGGTGACTGAGATGCTGCTGGACTGCATGGAGTTCTTGTGACTGCCTTTCTGCCAGTGGTGTTGTCTGCTAAACTGCAGTGAAATCTTTAGTGTGGAAGTGCATTTCCTATTCTGGAACGCAGAGGATGTTGAGAATTGTGCAAAAGAGGTAATGATTGAACTGTACCTGATCACGTGGAGGTGTGTCACTAGTGCATCAAGATGACCTTAGTTCTAACTGGGGAACACAAGAAGAAGCATCAAATGCATAGAAATACTGCTTTAAACTTTCAAAACAATGCAATGCTTCTGAGATCTATCAATGTCGGAAACCAAGAAGGGCACTGCTTAGAGGGGAGATAATGATTTTCAAGACTTTTGCTAGAAGGAATGTATATTGTGAATAACAATCACTGTCGTATTCAGTTTTATGTGTTGGGAAACCACATGAATGTGGCTTTGTCTTGGTTTTCTCGGATCTGTGTTCTGAAAGATAGAGGATGTTTTTGAGAGCTTTCAAAGTTATAACTGCAAATGAAACATGAAGCAGGCTGTACAGATGGAGCTGCAACCAGAGTTAGCTGAAACATACAGCAAGGCGTCCTCAAGGTCTACCTTAGGACTTCCTTGAGGTCGGTTCAGATCGGTGTGAGGTTTGTTTTCCTTTGTAACAACAGTGCAACTTGGGTGTGGTAAAAGCAGGCTTACTATGTGTGCTCATCATATTGCCATGAATCACACGGGGTGACTTCAGCCTTGTTTCCCCAGCAGAGCCCATGGGTGCTGCAGGGCCGGGGCAGTGCCAGCAGGAAGCCACTAATGTTCATCTGTGAATGTGCTGTGCAAACTGCAGTCAGTGCACTGCAGCTCACTCCAATTAAAAAAAAATGGAGTTAACCAATAGTCAGTTCTTAGAAATTAGAGGCTTTGTAAGAAAGATGAGTTCCCCAGAGAACTCTGAGCAATTTGTAACCTTTGTCCTTCGTTAAGCTTTTATTGATGTTTTATTTCTTTTCTTCCCCTGTGAAGACTGCAGTCTGTTCCTTGGTTATGTTTGCTGCATGGTTTTAGGCTTTCAGTTATCACACACAAATCAGGGGTGGTGGCTGTGATTTAGGTGTGAGAAGGAAGGTTTTATCATAATCTCTGCTCCAATTGCTTGCAAACTGACTTGGTTCATTGTGCATTTTGGCTTTTAGGAGCCAAATAAGGGAATAAGAGAATGATTGAACCTCTTCAGTAGAAAACTTTGGCAGAACTTCCTCACAATTTCAACCTCATCAAGCTGAAAAGGTGCAGTGTGTCTTAAAGTGCAGGCTTCCCAGCCACCTGAAATTGTGAGGGATGAGATTGGAGCTGAACTCTGTGGACTGAAATGCAATAAATGATGTCCTTAAAGCTGCCACAGGGCCAGTGAGGTCCTTAATGAACTTGTGCATGTGGTTAAAGCCTTCACCACACTGTGACCTTGTGGCTCTGGACACATCGTATGGGAACACTGACTGTTGTGCAGGGCTTGAACTCATTATGTTTCCATTAACAACAATTTATTGACTTCCAGAACAACCCTAGGATCAGAGCCTTTAGTCTTTTCTATACTGGATTGGAGCTTTCAATTGATGCAGAGGTTTCACTTCAGTCATTCACAGGACTCAAGACCAAAAGTTTGGTGTTTTTCCATTTTTCCATGCGTGCAGTAAGAACACTTCTAGGAATCAGAGCATAATCCTGTTCAGCTTCTTAGAAAGAAATGCACAGGACAGTTATTAAGCTTGAATTAAAATGATAAATTTGATTGTGCTTTGAAAACATTGCACAAATGGCAGTGAGGTGATGCAGTATGCTGGAGGTGTCCAGTTGTGTTTATTGTGGCACCTTTCTCGTGTAGGAGGCTGTGGTGGTAGCCTTTCACTGGTGTCAGATCTATGGTGATCTGCATCAGCAGTGTTGTAGCTTGTGGAGAGCAAACTTTGCTTTGTCTGGATGCAGAAACTGCCCTTGGCACAGATGTAGCACACTAGGTTAATTACTGAGTGCCACCATTTTCATGGAGCTGTAGATGCAGGGAGCATCCGTCCAACTCTTGTAATAGAGCAAACTGCTGGAGGAAAAAAGTATTTATTTGGTAAATGAGCTTTGAATTACAACCCAGGGAAGCAGACCTGATGTTTGGTGAAGCTGCAGCTGTGTGAGCTTCGTAGCTCTGGGTGTATCAAATAACTTTCATCAGCAGTATGTGGGATAAAGTTGTACCTGGAGCACAGCCTATTGCAAGCTGCATGTTGCTCAGAGATACCCTCATCTTCATATGGGCTGCCGTGTCATGTTGGACCATATGTAATTAATTAATTTCTTTTTCTCTAACAGTGATGAGTTGAAAATACTGATGCAAAGCAATAGGTGCCCACGTACAATTTAATGTTTCATTGTTTTACAGATGGGGTCGAGGATTCGGTCTGTTGGGTTCCATCTTTGGAAAGGACAGTGCAATAAATCAGTCCAACAGTGTATTTGGACTCGTGTTTTATATACTACAAATGCTACTTGGTAAGTATTAATTCAGTTTATACAACAGGTCTGTGGTGATAAGAGGAGCGTGTTATGCATTGCACAGTCTGTGAGAGACCAGATAAAATGCAAGGGATTTCTTTTTAGCAGTCGTATGCTTCGTCTGTGCAAAGGGCTTAAAAGCCCAAATGCTAACGAGAGCAATCTTACTTTCTCCTGCTGTTATTAAAGATGTAAAGCATTAAGACAGTTGTTGCACTGGTATTTTCACTTAAATGTGCTTAGCATTGGATTGCAGGGTAGAAAGGAGACAAAGATTGAATTTAGAAGTTTGCAGGAGTAATATGGGCAGCATGTGATGTAATAACGTGTGCATGGCTTTGTAACTGCAGTGTGCTGTAGCTGTTTATGTGGGTAGCCATACCTTGACCAACCTGTAATTTTCCCATAATTCAGGAATATGGAAGATGCTAAATACAACATACTGCTTATCAAAGGATTGTTGTACAGAACCTAGAAGCTCTCTCCCAGTAGTGATTTGTCAGCCATCTTGAACTCATGGTATACAAAACTGACTTTTATGTAGTAGAGACTTGCTGAGCAGCCTTGAGTTGGAACTGCAGTGCCTAGGCTTTGTGCTTTGTGTAAGGTGGAAGGAGAGCAGCAGCAGTAACTCTTTCTCTCTTGTTGCAGGTATGACAGCAAGTGCAGTAGCAGCTCTAATCCTCATGACATCCTCCATAGTGTCTGTAGTAGGGTCTTTGTACTTGGCGTACATTCTGTACTTCGTGCTGAAGGAATTTTGCATTGTCTGCGTCATCACATATTTGCTGAACTTCATTCTCTTTATCATCAACTACAAACGACTAGTTTATTTGAACGAGGCCTGGAAACGGCAACTCCAACCCAAACAGGAGTAGCGCCTGTTCGAACTTGTGACTGACAGCCTGAAGACCCAACTTCCATTAAGTTTATTTTGCAGTAATTTTTTATTCTCCATATCAGACGCTTTCCCTGAGATTCATAACTGAGTTTTTAATTAGAAATTGGAAGGGGCCCTAGATAATTTTTTTTTTTGTGCTAATCTTCAATTTAAATGTGGTTGTAAAGAAAGCTGTAAAGCAATCAAAGACAAGCTTTAACTTTACTTTGAAGGAGTTCTAGCCACGGCAGAACCTAGACTCTCTCCTCCCCCTCCACTTGTAAAGTGGGTAACACTTGCTATAAAATATCCTGTATATAAATTCAGGTATAACGAGATGTGATCATGACATTAAATATTCTAGAATAGCATTATGATATTTAATGTTGCCATGTTTACAGTCTGTGTATTACATTTTTGTTTTTGTTTTTTTTTTTTAGCTGATGGACTTAGATTTGATTAGGACTTATACTGTAAATAAACTTAGAAATCTCGGTTTCATCCCTGGAGAACTCACTGTACAATCAGTTTTGTTAGCCTAGGAGCTTTTGGAGTGTTCAGCTAACAGTCAACTGACGTGATGGAAGAAGTGACCTCTGTAGAGCACCTTGTTGGGGCACTCACTGCTGGTGCTTTCACAAAAAATGACGGTTGGGTTTTGTTCCATTTCTCTTGTTCCCTATCGAAAATGGAATTAAAGCTGAAACCTGAAGTATATTCCTCAAACCACAATTTCATTCATTTCTGTACAGAATGAAAATAGCTCAATGTGGTCGATAGAAAGTTACCACCAGGATATGAGATACAGTGTGGGCTCTTGGTGTATCAGAGAGTGCTCTTGTTCCACGCAGTGCTGTTTCATTTTAAATTGCGGTCAGACAGGCAGTGTTACTAACGTTTGATGTTCTATGAATGCTGCAGTATAGGATTGCAGTCTGCAGTGGAAACCACTGACTGAGCGGGATAACCAAGTAGTGCACCGAATAAGCAGATACTGAATTGATCTTTGTCAGGATCTTTGGTTTGTGCTATATTGGGAAGTGAACTTTAGGCCTGACACACACAGGATCCTTTGGAAGGGCAGTCTGTTTCGTGGAGAAGTAAATGTGCTCCTGAAATTGAAATCTGATGCAGCGCTATCATTGCTCTTTCTAATAACTAATTAAAAAAAAAAATAAAAAATTAAACTGCAGATTTAAACAAAAGAACAAAATTGTAATGCTGTTTCTGCTCGCAGTATTCTAAAGCTGAATGTTAAAAGTGCCTTCTGTCTTAAAATTTTAAACCAAATACTTAGTGTTGAACTTGGCAGACAGAAGTGTCCTTGCTTTAAAAGTGAACAAACAAAAGCCCCCAGCAAATTTGCTGGACGTAGAAAAGTATTAAGAAACCTATTTTAGTTTTTAGACTGAGAAGTGGTAGCAATACTAAACCGATGCGATAGGAAGTCAATGATGTCATTTGGAAAAGTGAAACGCTTGTGTTTGGAACTCTGTGACACCAGAATATTCAGCTACGTTCTGTAATTGGTGCTGTGCTGCTTTTTGCCCTTGTCAGCTTCTAAATACAAAGAATTCCAACTGCGTACCTGTTTATTTAAAGAATTAGTTTAACTAATCTTAGGATTGTTTCTTAAACATGAATGTCAGAAAGACACTTACGTTGTATGGCTAAGTGGATTACAAACACTAAGTTGCTGAGGATGAACTTGACTGTGAAACATACAGTATTCAGTAGAGAAAATAGAATTTTTAGGTTGAATTCACAAAATAGTATTTGCTACTGAAGTAATTTTCTGGTTTGTATCAAGGATGTAGGTGGAAACTGCTTTTATGTATAGAGTTCTGTGGTATGAGTAACATCTGTTGCATGTAACACTAAATTACTTGTCCCTCTTGTCTAACGGTTTTAGACAATTCATTAAATGCATTTTGTATTGACCAGAGTATAGTTAAAGCTTGTCTTGATGTTTAGTTCTGTCTCTCAAATGCCTTGAACTCTGACATGAGGGGAGTGAATGATGCTGAACTGGTCTCTCAAGGCTTTCCTCTGTACTTCTAGAAGCCTCGAGGCGGTATCACCAGCATCACTGGTTTGTATGTTGTATAGATTTATTTCAGAGCATTCCTGTGATCCACGCTGATGCATCTTTTCATTGGAGGAAGAGGTGAACATGCACTGCCTGATTGCAGTGCTAATAGCTCAGAGCAAGCAGCAACAGAGACAAGTGTAATCAATGATTACTTGGTCCAATTTGGGGGTGTAACACACACCCAAGGGGAAAAAAGAAAAAAAGGAAAAAAGCCCCATCAGCAGAAAGTATAGGTGTTGACTAACTCACTGTGTCTTGTGCTTGTCTGTGTGGGTATAGTCTGTTAATTCAGTTTGTTTAGTAAAATTGTTTAGGGCCAGATTTTCAGCAGTCCTGTCTGCAGTTTGTGTCTGTGTGCACACTGAGGTCAAATGGGAAATCTGTTTGGTCTCTGGAAGAATTTGCCGCTGTATTTTGTGCACAATCTTGCAAATCTGATCCTAATTGTGAACTCTCTTGTCTTGTGTGCTTCTCTTGCAGTTCCTTTTTACTGGAAGTGATTTGCTAGAAATGGCCCTAACTCTTCTACTTTCTCTGTCGTGCTTCAGAAATGCAGTTGGCCTGAATAAAGGGCAGAGTTAATATTAGCAGTAGAAATTTGGACCTTTTTGCATCCGGATCTTTGACTTTTTTCTCATTGCTACCAAGGATAGAAACATCATATTTCTTCCAGTAAAATGGCTCAGATTGCCATTAGTAACGTGATAGAAATCAGAGGAGTGCTTCATGCAACTTTTCCCCTGCCTGCCACCCTCAGCCAGAACAAGTGTCACAGCAAAGATGTGATTGATACGAATTTGCCATTTACAAAACAAGGGAAGTTTTGAGGATACAGTAGTGCACCTAAGTGCTACTTAATAATACTTGGTCTGGCAGAGGGACAAGGGGAGACTGTGTCATTACTCGTTATGGCTTCAACCCCATGAGAATGGAAGGGAAAAAAATTGTTAAGATACAGTGGTTGTGAATTTGGGCTGTTGCCCTCGCCTCTCCCTGGCTCTCAGAAGCCCTGCAGGGAGGGGCCGATTCAAGGAAGAACAACTTCATCCCAAAAGCTGTTTAGGAAGTAAACATTCCTGAAATCCTCTTACTGTAAGGTACTTGAAACTCTTAAGGCCAATGAAGCATTCAAGTCTTGTTTAGGAAATGAGTGTTCTTGGAACTTTCTTACTGTAAAGCGTTTGCAGTGCTAAGGATTGCCAACAAAACATTCCCTACCATTTCCGATATCTAAAGTGACAGCGAGTCTCTCTTATCAGATTTCAACACCCTGCAGTACATGTTTGTCTTCTGCTGTACAGTCTGTTGATTGTTCAGAGAATTGGCGAGGTGCTTTGGGCAGCACTTGGGTCTCATAATTTATACTGGTTAAAGTTAAGGAGAGATCTAATAACTTCAGATCTGCCAACGTTGTTTAAATGTGATCTAGACAAAACTGGTCCAGAAAAGGTGAAGTATTCTGTTACCATAAAACTGTATTAAGCATGGCCTAAATATTAGGTGTGTGTTCTGTATAGTGCGTTCCATCAACTATCACCAGTGCTTTAAACTCCAAACTAAACATCCATTTAAATGGAGACATTGGGCAGATGTTCCTTTTATCAATATATAGATTGAGAGATTCTCTTATTGCAGGCTTAGGATAAGATTTTGCTAACAGGTAAAACAATGTAAATATGTATGAATTCTATTTGTTGCACATAACTTTTTGGTATAAAAAAAAAAAAATAAATGTAGAAATTACCTGTGGATGTCTTGCTGCAATCATTCTTATGCTGCATTCATGCAGTCTGAACATAAGAGCTTGAATGAACCCAATCAGAGGCCTTTTTGGACTCAGTCTGAGCCTTAGAAACTGTTTTTAAAGTCAGTACTGTAATTTTGTTTCTCCAAATGTACCAAGTTGTGATCTCTTTCAAAGCAATTGTATGCTAGCAGTAGAAGGGTTAAAGCACTTGGGTCCTCAGAGAATACCCTTGTATAGAACTTCTGCAGCTTTGTTGCGTCTTGCTGAATGTTGTGTGCACATGAGTGTATAATGGTTGAGCAGCATTGAGGCTTTACTGTTTACAGTTCTTTCAGTAACATGCAAAAAAAAACATTAAGTGTGTTAATCAGTTCCTTCTTTCCCTGGTTCTTCAGGTGTTTTAACTCCACTCTGACAAAATGATGGAGTATCTGGAAACTGCTGTTTATTTTTGTGGATCTGGGGGGACAGGGATGGTGGGGAGCAGGGAGGATGGGAGTTTTGGGAGGAAGGCTTGGATAGGTGGGTTTTGAGTTTACAGTTGCACTGAGCTGTTGAGAACAAGCAGGAACTGAAACTCTGAAGTGTGTGCTTTTCATACGTGTGGATATTAAATTTTGCGTATGTTTTGTTGGACTGAATGAAAGGATAGCCTTCTCTTCTGAAACCACAAATCCTGAGTTTTATTGTAGCTATCTCAGCCCTGGTTTATAATGCATTAATGATGTCAAATCTTGATCTGTATTTCGATGTGGCAGCTGTTGGTACGTCCTACTGTCTTGAAATGGGGAGGAGAATGGTTTTTAAAAATTATCTAGAGGGTAAGAAGTTGACACTGATTTCAAACAGTGGTAGTGGGCTTGAGTACACTATTCACACTTGTATCAGGTTACATCTGAACAAGTGTCTTTCTAATATTGGTAGACTTTTATATTCTGGGTTTTTAGTTAATGAGAAGGTCTGTAAACCTAACACAAGTGTAACCATGATGAACATTGGCAGTATGTTGTTTCTTTTCCCCCTAGAAATTCAAGTAAAAATGGTTTGAAGTCTGCAGTAAACATGTACGTGCTTATTCTTTACGTGGCAATGGAAATTGTTGTTGGTCTCTAATATGTCACATCTAAAGGAATGAGAATTTGGCCACTGCACAACACAAGAGCAAATTCTTTCTTGAGGTACTAGCAGAAGACCAGGTGCAGAAAAAGTAGGCATAGCAACAGATTCACACATTATCAGTGAACTGGGATAATGAAACTAAGGCATTGTCCCAAAATTCAGTGGGCAACTCCTACTTCTGTGGTTCTGCTGTGGGTGATGCTGCTGTTGGGACAACCCTGCGAGCTTGCAATAAGAAGCTGGCAGATTCCAGGCTCTTCTGTGAGCACTACTTACTATAGTCTAAAATCTGGCCTTTAGAGTCCTCTAAGACTGGTGTGCAGCCTAAAAGGGAAGTTAATATACTACATTACTGTCTCAAGTACTGTGTACACATTAACTTACACATAATCCTACCCTAGAATGCTTCAGGCCCCCTATCAAAAAGGCTTAGATTGAATTTGCCCTCTAGAACACTATTCCTGTAAAGCATAATGAAAATTTAACGTGAAGGAAGCTCTTCCATGCTGCAAGGTAAAGCTGCATCTAATTGTGGCAGTTCTGGTACTGTGATTAAATAGCTCTAAACAAAGTTCAGTGGATGTAGTACCTACCTATCCAACATATTCCACCTTGCTGCTGTGGTATGAATTCCATACTGTATTGGAGTATGTTGGGTATCCTCACAGAACTAGCAGTTCACACGCTTCCTGAGTTGCTGTTAACTCTCAGAAGTTCTCAGCCAGCTGCGTGTGTTCTGTCCAGTTTTAAACAAGAGAAATTATGTAGTCAGTAATCCCATGGACGACGTGCTGTGAGCTGAGTGGTAGCAGTTAGGGAAGTATAACTGGAAAACCTCACTTGCATTTGAGGGAATTGATGCTCACTTAGGCTAGTTAGGGCTTTTGAAGTCTTCTGCATTGATTTCTATTGTAATTATTTTGTTTTGTTTTTTGCTATAAACAGATACCTCATTCAGGATGTCTAACTTAGCTCCTTGAAACTCAGAACATTTGTTTTACTACCTGGAAACAGGAAGCCTACAGGCATGGCTGAGCATAGTAAAACTAATGTTTCTGATCTGCTTTGTGTCATAGTAACTACTTTAGGTGGACTAGAAATTGCATTAGACTTGCAAGACTTGTGTCAGGCGTAAATATTGTTTAAACAGGAATTTAATTAAAAAGTTCAGCATAGTACCCAGCTGTTAATGCCTTTTCATTTCATTATAGAAAGAGGATATGTGATTTTATTATAGGAGGAAGACAGCTTGATTCATTTGCAATCTTCCAGTATCTTTCTCTCAGAACAAATGCAGCTGACTTGGGCTGTCGTTGGCGGGTAAATATTCCTTTCTTGTTCCCCAAAACACGTGTGACCCCTGTAGAGAAGTTATAAAATAAAGCAGTTATATACAAAATGCTCTTCTATCCCCTATTGTGAATTGTTTCAATGTATGTTCTAAATCAGGTTAAGTGGGAGAGACCTATGCACTTATTTCTACACGTCAGATACAGCAGGGAGTTTGGCAAAGGAAATTTGTGTGATATGGGCAAGAGTAACTGATAGAACAGAGCAATATAGCTGCAATTCATTGCATTTACAGCTGGAAGTCGATGACAGCTAATTCAGGTATGTCTATTAACTCAATCAGTATTGCACTTACAGCAGATGTTACTTCTGCCCTTAATGCCACCCTGTAACTTGATGATGAAGATGTCAGTTACTAATTGTTTGGCTGTTCTATCCCTCAGTGGTGCCCACATCCTTTTTGCCTATTTTGGACTTGGTAGATAACTAGAATTAGTGACTGCAACATGTAGAGAGACTGGAACTGCATCTGCGTATGTAAGTTTGTCTGAGTTTTTTCCATTGTTCTGTTTGAACCTTGCTGACTGCTTCTCTGTGACAACTTAGCTTTTGAATACCTGTGTTGGTGTTCTACAGATTATTTTAAATGGTGATTATCTGCCTGATATTACCTCTGACAGTTACTACCCTAGCTTGCTGTAGGTGACATGTGTAATTGGTTCTTTAGGTCTCCTTCTGAGCTACAGTAGTTCAATTTGTGTGACTGCACTGTAGTGCCCCATACTTCATAAATGACTTACCTTCTATTAGTAGTGGGTGTCACAGTAGACCATTGTCAACCACTGTGATATCTGGCCCTCCACTGCTAAATCTCTACACTGAGTTAATAATGCATTTACTTACGGTGCTGCATTATTAAGTGCAGTAACAGATAAAATATGAAGGCAAGCAAGACACTTCCCTAAAAGCTAACTGAAGCTCTGACTTGAGGAAGGCCAAGAAAGATATCTAATCTGTGTCTGCTTAGAAGCTTCCCTCGTGTTCTGCCCTCCTGCACTGTGCCACGTTCTGGCTAGCACCTTGGCAGATGGAACAGCTGGGAACTCAAGCTGGAGAAAGAGAATGCATTAAGTACAGAAGGACCTTCCCTGCTGTGGCTTTAGTCACACTGGACTTTGTCACACAAACCAGCTGTGTTCCATCTCCAGAAGCAGAGGGTCCCTTTGTCCTACTCTACAACACGGTATTTTTTCTATGTGTTATAAACAATTTTATACTTGGAGGGAGAATGCAAAGTTGTTCAGAATGTAAATATAAGCTTACCTTGATTAGTCATGAAATCAGCAAAATTCCAGATGAGTTCCCCAATCACATACTCTTTCCTCTTTTTGTCAAAAACAGAATGGTACTCTTTCAGCAAAGCTTTCTGATACTCCTCACTGAACATAGCAGGTGGATCCTAAGCCAGGAAAAAGAGGTGACTTTGAATGAAGGTGACTGTTAATCTCAGCAAAGGCTCCATACATTAATTTCCCATTTATTGGAGACCTGCTTCCTGAAAACAAGTTTTACAATTGTTTGATCTTTTCATGGCCACTGCATTAACAATGGCTATTTTACTAAAGATTAGCAACTACTGAAATTGTGAGAGGAAACAAAATGTAATGCCAAGTTTATCTTGGGGAATGTATGTGGTTTTGCTTTCCTAATGGTGCTTTATTGTGAAAGGTGTAGAAGTGCCATCCCTTTTTATGGGGAATGGTGCTGTGACATGGATGTCCACTCCCCAGTGTTGCATCTTCCACTGAGGCATTTTTTTGCAAATGCCAAAGTACAGATTCAGATTTCAATCTTCTTGGAGAGGTTTAAATGCTGTAAGTTTAAGTTGACAGTTAGCTATACCTCGATTGCAGAATGATTAATTATAAAGGGAAAAACAAACACACTGTAGTTTAGGACCCAAACACAGAAGTGTTGTTATTTATATTTCACATGGAGTGCAGCTATACCAGCAGTCAGAGCTGTTGGAAACTGCATACCTAGGAGAAAATTAAGCAGAGAATGGCTTCAGGATATTTAACACTTACACTGTGAAGTCCAGGAACTGAGTCAGCTCCATATTCACTCTGGATAATGGGTTTCTGGTAGGTTTTATACCAGTTCTCAAACTGTGCTGTAAGTTGCAGCGGAATAACTTCCAGATGGCCTGAGTCATGGTACCAGGAGAAATAGCTGTTCACACAGATTACATCCACATAAGGAGCCTACAAAAAAAAAAAACAGGATGGGAGTGTTTTGTCACAGAGCTCAATGTATGCAAACATTCGTGAACTAATCCTCATTTTGGTTCATTCTATGGAATTCAGCCTTTTCTCCTATCATTCTGGCCCTCCCAACATGACATGTTTCCCATGAAGGAGATTTAAAAGAAGTTAAATTTTACAAGGTACAGGTGTATTAATTTGGCATTTCCTTACAGTCTTAAGCCACAGTAAAAATGTTAAACAAGATTAACCTATTTTATGCTTAGGTTTGTTAGAAGTTTTAGTGTTTCCAAGATGTCTCTGGCTTGCTGGTACATTTAGACATACTTATTGAGTATTGGAATATGATGGTCAAGTTAGTAGTCAATTATTTTGACTAGCAACTAAATTTGTGCATCAGTGGTGCAATACTAAGAATAAGCATTCTGCAAGTTATATGCCATTTCTACCACATGGACAGTATGATAAAAGGGCACAAAGCCTACTAAAGATGAAGTGATGTTGTATGTAACTTGTTCAATGTTCTCTTAACATGTTTTGTAATAAAAAAGAAGTTCTAATATTACAGCAGCGTATGAGATCTATTCTTTGGTTTTGTTTTCCTTGTGTATCCTCAAGCTGGTCAGAATATGCTGGTAGGGTTGGGAAGAGAGGTGTGTGTGTGTGTGTGTGTGTGTGTGCACGCCCACCTGCCTGATGCAACAGCAGTATCCAAGAGCAAATACTTGCTGGTTACCTTTGAAACTAAGGTCACCAGGGTGTTTTTTTCCTGCAGGTGGGGAGTTACAGAAGGCCGTTCCTGCTAACTGTAGGACAGCTTCAAAGAAATACTGAGTATAACTTGTAGCAAGGACAGGTGGTGATGTCACGTATGTACTAACTACAAACTCACCTGCTTGGAGTGCTTATTGTACAGTAGTAACATGAACTATTATAAAACACTAAAAGTGACATGGGGACTACCACTGAAATCTTTTTTTGTGTGTGTATAGATCCTTGATTCATGCTCTGGCCTGCTTAAAGCACAGACAGTCAAGAAGAGTACCTTTTGGCTAATTACACAGCTAAAAGACTTGAGTTATGAAGCTAAACTTGGGCTGGAAGCACCTTTAGTCTATTCAGAGTTAACAGACATCTGCCGAAGACTAACTAGAGCAGTTTAAAGAAGGAATTTAAGACAAAGTTTCCTTCTTTAGATTTCCATAAAGTCTGTTAGTGGTTTTAAAGGGCTTAAGCTTTAGTTTAATTGCAAATGGAAAGCCTGAGCATTAATAGACAAAATAACTGGGACAGCCAACTGTCACAATGTTAACAAAATCCAGGGGGCTGATTCTATATACTCCACCTAATACCAAGAACTGTTCTTTTGCAGGTTTTTTTAGCTGGCCTACCACTATAGTATAAAGGGCTTTGTGCTGGAAGCCAAAAATGTAAGTTTTCTTCTACCTCTTCTTCATAAATAGTAAATTTGGCAAGGGAAAGGACTGGAAATGAACTGAGAACAAATTTAGCATATAAATTATATAAAAAAAGATAGAAATTAAAGTAAACTTACACCATGATCAAGAGCGTAATTAGTATCAGACACAAATGTTACAGGTCTAGAGGGATCCAGAGCTTTAGTGTGAGCTATCAGTGTCCTGTTTGTAAACAATAAAGCAAGAGTTCAACAACAGCATGGAGAAGCAATGCAGCCAAGAATAAGCTCACTTTTCCAAGCTCTCTGTCCTTCTGCTCCCTCAGACATTTAAAGCTGCTTTCAATTTTGTAGGCTGAGCATTTTTAAGTAAATACTGCAGAATCCTGATTATCTGCTACAACTCTGTGTATGTTTCTCCAAAAACACTGCCTTATCCTTATGCTACAGCAGGCACAGGTAGGCTGTTATTAAGGAAGCCCAAAATGAGGGAAATAAAAGAATGGGAGGGTGAGGTTCTGCAGCAACCCCAGCATTGCAGAAGGGTGGTGGATCATTTTGAGAAATGAAAATTCACAGTTCTCCCTGAATGCACTTACAGCTATCAGTGACAGTTTGCTGCCCCCACTGCAGGATTATTCTTGGCTATCCAAAGCTTAAATCTCTTCGGAATAAAACCAAGGGGTCTGTAGGGACACAAAGCAGTGGCTTTGAAGTAGGGTGTCACTAACACCCACAAAACAAATAACTAACACTTAACTGAAGAACCTCATCTACATAATTGGAGGCCAAATATTTTATGCTTTTGCAGTAATTCTCAGATTGAGAATTTAACATTCAGCTTTCTTAAGTAACAGGGTAACCTGTTCCCATCAGGTCTGCTTTTGCTTTACCCTTGTTTCAAGAAGAGATGCTCAGACCAAATGGACTCCTGGCAATTTTGCAGAGGTTTACTGATTCAGAAACAACAGGTGAGACCATTACATGTTTCTGAACATTGGTTCAACATATGCATTAGTTACACTTTTAGTTTGCATCTGTGGGTTACTTCTCTGTGCCATCTTAAAGCATGAAGGTACACGCTTGCCTAAATTCAAGCCTCAGCTCTGTGTATGAGCACTTACTTGAAGTAGTAAGCTGCTGGGGGCAGCTCTGATGCTGGCTCGTTGGCTACTGACCACATCACAACTGAGGGCCTGTTCTTATCCCTGCGGATCAGCTCCTCCATCACAACAAGATGATGCTGTAGTGATTTGTTCCCGAAGCTCTCACTGAAAAGGAAACAAGACTAGGTAAGAATATAAAATCACAGGTAAGTTGTGCCAGGGGAGGTTGAGACTGGATATCAGGAACAACAACTTCTCCAAAACAGTGGTGATGCAGTGGCACAGCTGCACAGGGAGGTGGGGGAGTCCCCATCGCTGGAGATATGGCACTGAAGGATGTGGTCAGTGGCAGTATTGGTGGTAGGTGGACAGTTGATCTTAGAGGTACTTTCTAATCTTGATGAATCTATGATTCTACGTGCAAATGGAATGGGTAACTCAAGCTTTGGTGGTATGTGAACACCAATGAGCATTGAAACTGAACGTGGCTTCTGCCTTATTTCCCCAAAGGCTGCTGCACAGTTCAGGGCCATGGTTTGGGCTCACTAATGGAGCCAGATCTGATGACACAACAGCCATGTGGCAGAACGCCCTCTGGTTGCCCAACCTCAGTGGGCAGACGTGGCACCGGGGGAGGCTTTGAAACGCAACAGGCTGTGATTTCTAAACAGAGCAAAGTGCCTTCATTATCAGGGTGTCACGAGCTTCAGGATGGGAGGGGGAAGCTGTGGGAGGGAAGACATAAGGGGAATGGCGCTTCGTGCTTTGCTTACGGCATCTTAATCCCCACTCCTGGGCACTCATCGATCACCACGATGCCGTAGGTGTCACACAGGTCCATGATCTCCTCAGCATAGGGGTAGTGGCTGGTGCGGAAGGAGTTTGCCCCCAACCAGCGCAGCAGGTTGAAGTCCTTCACGATCAGTGCCCAGTCCAGGCCTTTGCCACGAATCTGAGGGGGACAACAAATCAAATCCTGTTGCGTTGCAGTGCAGGGCTTCTCCTCGCACCGCAGCTGGGCGGCACTGAGCTCTTCCAGCCTCAGCGCACAAGATCTCTCTGTGTGTCTTTATGAGCGCGACCTTAAGCATAGTTTAAGGCCAGGGTTGGGAGAAGTAGCCGCAGTGAGGGCTGTAACCGAGCTGCCCCTCCACAGCGCTCTCCTGAAGGAGGGAGGTGAGGGAATGGGAGGTGAGGGAACGCGCGGCGCTGAGGCGAGGAGGGCGAGGCGGGAAGGGGCTGAGAGCCGCCCCGTGGCCGGGCTGCGCCTTGCAGATCCGCGGCTCAAAGCTCATCGCCCGCCCCGCTTCTAAGGGCGGGAAACCGCTATTCGTGACTGGAAGCGATAGCCTGGGGCTCAGCCAGGCTGTGGCAGCGCGGGGAGGTGAGCCCGCACTTACATCCGCGTCCTCGTGCTTGTTGACCCCGTGGAAGTAGAAAGGCTTTCCGTTGATGAGGAACTGCGTGCTGGTGACGTGAACGGTGCGGATGCCAACCGGCAGGGTGTAGATGTCCTCCTGCGGCACGCCGCTGGCCTGAGCCTGCATTTTCACCTGGGTTCCCAAAGGAAAGCTGTGTGAGAGGTGCTGGGCTGGCAGAGCCCTCCAGGCTGTCTATGGATGCTGCACTCTGCGCAGAGTGGGAAGAAAGCTCATTGCATGGCAATGTACGTGGAAGAGGAGCTCAGCCTGCTTCCCAGAGGCTCTACCCTCCGTCATGCAGCATCTCCTCCCTCGTATTGTTCTAAATAGTCCTTCTGCAGCAGGCAGATCAGGCCAGAGATGTGAAAGGCAAACATCTGAGAGCACACGCATGCACACAGGGGTGCCCTGCTCTTCTCACCACCGACCTTCCCATTCAGCATCCAGAGCTCAATTCGGTTACAGCACAACTAGTAATGCCGTTCTAGAGATGTGGACCGAATCCAGGGGAGAGCAAAAATAAGAAAGATGGGCCATACGGCAGTTCCTTAACGCTATTACATAGTGAGAAGAAATGCACACAGAAGAAGAGATGTCACTGTTACCTCTAAGAAGTAGCGGTATCCAGGGCTCTCGTGCATCAGATAAGGCCACCACAGGTTTGGATTTGGCACTTTTAACTCTCCAGCTGGCCCGCTGCCTGTAGCAACCACTTTTCCCTCCTGATCACGTAAACTCAGAGACAAGGAATAGAGTTCGCTGCCAACTACCGATATCTGATATTGCACCATTGCTGGTTCAAAGGACAACAAAGCACAGTCAGAGGCTGGCATGAAAGGCAACATACATGCATCATATGTGGGGAAATTTTCACATACAGCAGCATTAAATAGCAAGGGAAAACAGCAACAGCAATAGAAAGGTACAAATTATAACAAGCGTGACCTGCTTTGAGGTCCAGAAGTTTTCAGGTAGATTTGTATATCACAAATATCTGTTTCTTAGAGATAATCCTGCTTTAAGTGGCAGAAAGACTGCCTCTGCTGAGGAATCCTACTTCTAGAAACACCTCATTGTCCTCTCTCTTTAACAACACAGTCTTGTGAGTACTTTTTCTTATTGTTTCTGCTTATTTTTTAATCAGCAACTGCCAAGCCAGGCACTAGACCAGCTAAGGCTAAAAAAAAAAACCACTACAAAACAAATTCAATTGGAATTGCAGGTTATTTTTTTCTATTGCCCTTGTCATCTCAATTTGGAGCTGGAGGTTGCTGCTGTAATTGCTCTGAACCTACCAACGCTCTCTGATGAAGTAGTTGTCACAGTAATGTCATCTATGTAGACAGAAGGTGTGGTGTAAAGCACAACCGGGCGATGGATTCCAGCATAATTAAAGAAATCAAACCTGGTGTTCTGTACAAAATAGTTCTTGGGATACCTGAGTGAGCAAGACAGGAAAAATGGCTGCATTATGTTTCATTACACAAGAACTGAAGGCAGCATATGGATGCTGGTAAAACATGCTGGTAAAACAATCTTTACAGCAGGATGGGTCTGTATTTCAGCAGTTCTACTGATGCTATGCTGAAAGGCTTTACCAGTTAACAAACATCTACTGCACTGAATGGGTTTGATCCTTCAGGACAGCAGGCTCTTGTACTTCCAGCTGAACTCAAGCTTCTCAATCTGCCACTGATTCAGCTTTGCAAACCACTTAATCTCAGTTCCCTGTGTATAAAACAGATGCAATAGTTCAGTGTAGATTCCTCATCACACTGAAACTTAAACTTCTCACTGCTTGGCTGATGAATTTCAGTAAAAACACAACCTGTGCTCTTCTAAGTTGCACAGAGGGTCTTACGAGACAGCAGCTGTATAAATCCCCATTCTCTCATCCCTGGGTTAACCTCACAGTGCAGCACGTTAGCGGCTCACCTTGTTTTGTCATTCATGTACTGAATTGACCCTGGAGGTAGAGTGTGCAGTGTCAGAGTGTTGTTCAGTGCAACAGTGATGCGGCAGGGAACCCCCGGGCTGCGCTGGACAATCCTGCTTATATCTGCTTCAAAAGGGAGGTGGCCACCTTCATGCTCCACAACCTGCACTCCATTCACCCACTGCAACAGAAGAGAGTCGTGAGTCCAAGAGGCACGTTTAAGATTTGGTGGCAGTCGTAGCAGCAAGAAGGGAAGGAGCACAGTGATGGGCAATTGGGATTTTAGTGCAGCATGACCCTGGAAGCACAAACACAACCACCCGTGCAACGTACCACGATGGAGTAGTAGTGGGCGCTGCCAAACCGGAGCACCACCCTGGTGCTGAAGTCATCCTGCAGCCAACGCTGAGGAAGCAGCACCTCCTTCTCATACCACACCCAGCCAATGTAGTTCTCCAAGTGGGGGTCCTGAGTGATGTCGTTGAAGCTGGCAGGCACTGGCATGTCAATAACAGGACCAGTCTGGCAGGAATTGAACAGAGTGGGAAGGAGCAAATCATTAAAAAGAAGAAATTCTGCTGTTTGGTTATGTAGCCTGTACTGCTGGAGGTATCCCCTTCCACTGACAGCCTCTCTAAGTGGAAGTACTTGGAAGAACCTGCCTAGAAACCAGCGTGGTCTGTCCCACACAAGTCCTGCTTACTACCAAGCCATATTCATACATGATGAACCTGCTGATATCTTTTCCTCTCCTGAAATGCCTTTATGAACAGCTTTGGTACCACGCAGTGGGAAGGGAAGGAGGGAAATGCCCAGGTGGCTGCTCAGCCTGCGATGCCTCACAAAGTGCAGTTTCTCTTGTACAGCTCCAGCAGTTCAGTGCACAGTGCTGCAATGTCAGCTCACTGCCACGATGTTTTGTGCCAGGCCATGAGCTACGGTGTGACAGCAGCAGAAGCTGCAGATGTTTCAGGTCAGCACTCCCAAGGAAGCACTGTTTGTACCTCTTTAGATGGGCTGAGTGGCCTTTCTCACTCCTTAAAAGCAATTGGCATAGTGTTAATTCACTGGCTTGTTATTAATGTAAGGATTCTAGGCAGGCAGTGTTGTAATGCATTTAACATCTCAGTAACCGGATGCTATGACACAACTGAGCCATTCATTTTTAGCACCTGCTGCACTCGTGATGTTGCAGCAGCGCACAGCTGGAGCGCTTCCCTTTTCCATGAAGAGTGGAACCAGGAACGAGCTCCATGTGCAGGGCTGACTCAGTGCTCACATGTACGGAGCTGCAGAGAAACTCAATCCTTAGTAGACATCACAAAATGCTAACAGGGGGTGAAGCAGATTTTGTAGCACCTGGCTCTATGAAACCTTTGGCCAGGATGGCCACTTGAAGGAGATTCCCAGTGTGTGAATGCTGAGTGCACTTCTCAGCCCCTGCTGGGAGCACTGCTTGGGATCCCTCTCCTCTGGTTCTTTTCCTCCCCTCCTCTCAGAATTAGGCTAAAAACCGGCCAGAACGCTAAAAGGGGAAGGATGGAGCTTTCAGCTCAGGATATGCATAATCACCGCACAGAGAGCGAACCGGGGTTCACTTAACAGCAGATCGAAGTTACACTGTAACCTGCTTATCTGCCCTTAAGAAGGGGCACTACCAGCGTGCGGACGGCACGTTGCAGCCTCGCAGGAGCGGAGCCCCAAGCAGCGCCGGACGGCCCCAGCAGCACGCGGTAATACGCTCCCCCAGCGCCTTCGGACAGGACGTTCCGTGCAGCCCCGATGCGAGGCGAGCATCTGAGCAGAGGGGAAGCGGCACGGTTCTCTGCTCCCGGGAAGAGAGCCCCGCAGCAGCGCTGTCCCGGAGGAGCTGCCCGCCCGCCCAGCCCCGCGCTACCTGCCGGAGCGGCTGCCGGTACCAGCGCTGCTCGAAGCCGGCGTCCCGGCCCGGCGAGAAGTCGGCGCGGAAGCTCCAGATTCCTCCGAGCTCCTTCAGCTCTCGGGACGGGCTCTCGCGGGGGTACAGCATGCCGCCCCTCACGGTCGCCGCCGCCGCCCGGCCGGCCGCCGCCGCCGCCACCAGCACCAGCAGCTGCAGGCGGCATTGCCCCACCGCGCCGCACGGCGCCGCCGCCGCCATCTTGGTTGTGGGCAGCGCCCGGCCGGCGGGGGAGGCGTGGCGGCCGCGATTGGGCTGGGCGGGAGCGGGCGGTGCTGCTGCGTGCGGCCGGCGGTGGGAAGGTCAGCGGTGGCGGTCGAGTGAGCTGCTGCTATTGGAGTCCTGAGACGTTTTGTACCTTTATTTTTTCACTTATTCATTTATTTAATAGTCGTTGTGTTTGTTTTTTGTTTTTTTTCTCCCGTAGACGACTGTAGAAGCGGGCGGCCCGGCAGCCTTTGGAGAGCATCAGATATGGCAAAGAGCCCAGATCACCTGGCGGCAGCTGAGCCACGAGCAGGAAGGCGCTTGCTGTGTTAGGAAGTCACGTTTGGGCTGAACTATGAACCGTGGTAACGTTTTCCTATTCGAAATGCATCCCTCAGAGCTTAATTGGAAATAAAATAGGATGGAAAGTGTTACCAGAGAGATCAGGGTGGAAGGAAATGCCATCTGATGGATTTTAGTTTCACAGGACAATTTTGGAGTGCAGATACTGATACACATCTAGAGTGTGCTGCCCATAAAAGCTCTCCTAAAAGCCAGGGAGGAGATAGTTCCAGTTCTTTCACACCAGTGAACTGCATTCCTCAAGCCTCAGAAGGGCTAAGGAAGCCCAGCTCAATCTTGTCCCCTAAAACAATATATAAGACAGAAGTTTCAGTGAATTACAATACACCATAGTGTTTATTAACTCTGGATTAGTGTGATAAGCACAACACTGCAGCCACGGGATATGTCCCCACACTCTAAGCTTGCTCCTTCTGCTTCTTCAGCAGCTCCCTCAGCTGCTCGATCTGGGCAGTCACGCTGCTCTTGGCAGTACCACCCACAGCAGTGTACTGCTCCACGCTGTTGACAATGTTGAAGACCTGGGAGACATCGCTGGCAAACAGAGGGCTGGGGAGGCAAAGAGAAGAGGTATCAGCAGAGAGTGATGGGCACTGCTTGATGGTTTTACATGCTTATTGCCTATGGAGAAAATAAGGAAGTAGAGGCTGAGCCTTTTCCAAGGGGAAAAGCATCATGAAGCTCTGCTTCTGCACTTCTAGTGCCTGTCAGGAGCAGTTCCTGACATACCAAAGACACAGCTGCAAGGGCAGAGGGAGGAAGGAAGTCTGAAGCCAAACTCCTCTACAGCGCCTGTGCCTCCAGGTCAAGGCATGAATTTCTCCATTTCCTCCCAGTACCTCTGGCCCATGCCCTGCATAAGTTCAGTGCTAGTGATATTGTGCCCCTTCAGCTGATACAGGCTTGGCAGTAGCAGCGATGATATTTAGGCCATGATAATTTTGGGTCAGGACTGGATTGTTCATGGAAGGCCACCATAAAGAGCTAAGCTGACACCTGCCTTTTGAGGGGATTTATGGCAAAGTAACAATGATACAAACCTGATGCTCTTCAGGTCCTCTAGAGTGAGTTTATTGATAGCAATGCCTTTAGTCTCAGCAAGATGGACGGCCTTCCCAGAAGCAGCATGAGCTTGTCTGAATGGCATCTACAATGACAAGGAGAGATGATAGTCCAGTGCAGACTCAGTCAAGAATGGATGTTCTCCCATTTTGATTGGTTTGTTTTTCCTTATAACAATGAAATCTAAACCTGCAGTTGTTGACTCACACTGACCATCACCTGGGGACCTCTGATACTTACTCCTTTACGAACCAAGTAGAGAGCCAGATCAGTAGTCAGCAACTCAGGGGTCAGAGCCTTCTCCATGTTCTCCTTGTTGATCTGCAGAGAGAGATATTACTGTCAGCTGCTCTTTGGGGACACATTTAGTGGTCTCAAAGAATGGACTTCATCAAGGAGGGACCAGGCTCTCCAATGACTTTCTTCCCAAGTGTACCGGAGCTGCCTGTGGTGGGGGCCCTACCAAGCAGTAGAAGTGAGCAAGTCTTCATGTTAGGAGCAGACTAGAGCTCTTACACACAGAACACGTCCTCCAACCACATTCAATAATGAGAAGCTGAAGCCTTACCTGGAGGGTAGAAATCACTCCGGTGGCAACCTGGAGCACAGCAGTCAGAGTGTCCACAACATCAAAAACAGCTTCCTTGTCCTCCTGCATGAGAGCATGGATGGAAATTGCTGTTAGATTAATTGATGCAGTGAAAAAGCCCACCAACATGAGCAGCCTGGCCAGCAGAGCAGGAGTGTCATCATGGAGTCTTGGGCTGGGTGTGATTTATAGCTTGCAGTATCACAGCCCCACTTTTTTATAATCCTGCACACAAGTAGCACCTGTGCAGGGAAATAAAGTGCAAGAGGCTTCTATAGACCAAGAGACAACTGTGTCTCTTCAGAGAACTGGAGTGAAATCTAATTTCTGTTTTACCTGCAGATCCTTGTTGTAGGTGCTTGGAAGTCCTTTGAGAACCATGAGAACAGCAGCCAACTGCAGAGAGAAACAGGTATGGCAATTGGTTAGTTAATTTTTACACAGAAGCATGAAGAAGGAAGCTTCTTCAGCCCCAATATGAGCAGTTTCCCTGCCCCTCTTCTTTCTTTAACAGGCTCACCCGTCCAAACACACGACCAGCTTTGCTGCGGATCAGTTCCAGGCTATCAGGGTTCTTCTTCTGAGGCATCAGGCTGCTGCCAGTGCTGGAAGAAAGCAATACTTTGGGAGTGTAATGGTGAGCAAGACCCCAGTCTGTGCAGATGCAGACTAAGACATGCAGCACGCTGGTCCAGCCCTGCAAAAGTGATTTGTAGCCCCCCTTGTCTGGACACCTGTCTCAGTATAGGAAAGCAGTGAA